TTCACTTTCTCTTAGTTAAGTGAAGACTGTTCAAAAAAGTCGGAGTTTGAGAAGGAAAACTGAACTTTCCAGATAGCAATATGAGATCCTAAGGACTACCATCTATGGAATACTCAAGCAGTTTGTCAGTCTGCTAATTGCTGATGAGTAGCGCTTTACAGAACTCTTTGTATTGCAGAATTTTAAATTTCTGAATGTTTTAAATGAGAATAACCGAATTCACTAGTTGTCACTGAAGTATTGTTTAACTTAGCAGTCTTCACATCTCAATATTGTAGATTGCAGGACATATGTAAACTTGTAAATTATGCTGGGTCAAGCAAACATCTGATTTTGTGTGCCTTTTTCAGGAGATACGATTTCTTGGGGAGTTGAAACATCCAAATATTGTACAATATTATGGGTGTGAAAAAGTATGTTTTCTTTGATATTTAGCTTCCACTGGCCTTTTTTCTTTCTATTACTAGTATTCTTGAGATAATCATGTTGGCCTGGTTGTCGACTTTTACAAATATTGATGGGCAAAATACTAATTTGTGTAGATTGAGGATCGTTTTTGCATATATTTGGAGTATGTTCACCCAGGGTCCATTAACAAGTATATTAGCGAACATTGTGGAGCTATGACAGAAAGCATAGTTCGCAATTTCACTCGTCACATTCTGTCAGGGTTGGCTTACTTGCACAGCAAACAGACAATACACCGGTAAAAGTCTTGCCCGAGGAGGGATTACCTATACTTCCATTTGCATATTGGACTTACTGTATATTACATGTAAAGGCGTTTTCCAGTTATTGATAGAAAAATACAAATAACTGGTACTTTTGGTGCTCGATAGACTTCGTCATTTTGTAGAGTAAAGAGCAGAGTTTGAAATAGCTGATTGATGTATTGGTCTAATTGAACAATTATAAAGTTCCATTTGCATATGAAGTTTTGGTGAATTTTTTATTTAACAGGGACATCAAAGGAGCGAATTTACTTGTTAATGCTTCTGGTGTTGTCAAGCTTGCTGACTTTGGACTGGCAAAACATGTAAGTTTTGAAACTTACTATACCAATATATTATGTGTATATTCTTGTATTTTATTTTTTATTTTTTTTCCCCTGCAATGTAAACCTAGTTAGCACTTCTTCAACTTCTAGCCCTAGTTTCAGTGCATTCCGACCTTTCTGTTTTGATTTTATTGAAGCATAAATTTTTGAAGTCAGTAACACAAAGTCCATTTCAGAATTCAAGGCATGCATGATATATGTATTGTGTAATATTAATATCTTTAAGTAAGTTGCACTTACAATGAGATGAAGTTCTTATAAATGGAATTTCATGCTAAAGGTCCTGGCTTTTTCTCTGAGACTTGGATGATTGATCACCTTAATTTATCTCCTTTGGAGTTATTCCGGCCGTCTTCATATTGAATATACTAATTCTGTTTTCCAATATTTCTTTTCTAGCTCAAGGGAAATGCTATTGATCTTTCATTAAAGGGCACTCCACATTGGATGGCTCCAGAGGTATCTTAGTCGGAGTTCTCTGCTTACCTACTAACTGGCCTTAAATTCCTTATATTTGTTTAAGTAATTATTCTTTTAATTTGTGCAGGTA